GTGGGCGGCCTCTCCTGAGAGACAGAGGAGGATTCTGTGCGTTCCTACTTTGCCCGCTACGGCCCTGTCTCCGACTGCGTCATCATGCGCGACCGTCTCACGGGCCATCCGCGCGGCTTCGGCTTTGTCACGTACGACGACCAGCTGGTCGCGGAGCGCGTGGCCACCGAGTTCCACGAGCTGGACGGCCGCCAAGTCGAGGCCAAGATCGCCGTCCCGCGCTCGGAGTGCGTCCCGGCCCTTCGCACCAACGCCTGGCGCGCCACCAAGAAGGTCTTCGTCGGCGGCCTGCCGGCCACCTGCCGTGAGGCCGAGCTGCTCGCACACTTCAAGCGCTTCGGCGACGTTGCCGAATGCCAGGTCATGTACGATCACCAGACTGGCAACTCACGCGGCTTCGGCTTCGTTACCTTCACCAGCGAGGCCACCGTCGATACCGTCGTCGATCTCGATCAGCATGAGATCCTGGCAAAGCACGTCGAGGTCAAACGCGCGGAGCCCAAGCAAGCTCTGGAAGCCCGCCGCGGACGCGAGGCCGCCGCCGCCGCTGCCGTCGCTGCGGCCCACCAACAGCAACATCAGCACCACCATCAGCAGCAACAACAACAACACCACCCCGCCGCCGTCGCAAAGCACCACACTCAATCCGTCACCGCTCACGCCCCGTACGCAGCCGTTGCCGCAACCAATTCCGCCGCCTCCGTCCCCGCCATCCCGTCACCCCCGTCCGCCTCGCATTCCACTCCCGCTGCGCAAAGCCCCTTCCCGGGCTTCGGCCCCTGGTCAAGCCTCTTCTCATCGGCTCCCGGCGCATCATCAGGCTCGTCGTGGAGCGCCCTCGTTGCCGCGGAGCGCGCCAGCCTCAACGCTGCACCCGGTCCGTCACTCCCTGTGAGCAGCCCCAATAGTAACGCTACGTCCACGTCGGTGCCCGCGGGGGGCTCATCACTGCGCTCCCCATCGAACAGCGGCATGGGCTTTTTCACCCCGGCCCAACCGTACACCCCGGACCTTGCGCAATGTGTTTACAACGCGTATTACGGGTCGTCGACAACGCCGGAGGGTTTTGAGATCGGCGCACATGCACAGGGCTTGCCAAGCGCAAGAGCAGAGCGGAGATTTCACCCGTATCCGACCAGGGAACGCGTAGACAGAAGTTATCGTTAGATCCTGGCATCGACGAGCGTCGATGTGTGGGGATGAGGTTGTGGCGATTTCTAGAATTTGGTGTGCGTTCTTTTTTTTTGTTGTTGATGTCATGTCGACATCGCCATCGTTGTGCAAAGGATTGTGGTGGCGATGGGTTTAGGTTGCCTATGTCACCCGCCACCCGCCCCCCTCCCCCCGCCCCCCCTCTAGTTTGTGAGTGTATGTATTTTCGTCGCCCGCGTCGTGTGGAGTTTGCCCTTGCAAAGTTTTTAGTTGGTAATACAGACACGACATATTACAGATATATACTGTAACATGTCGTAGCAATGACCGTAGAGCTGGTATAGCAGCGCTTTTGGACACTGTTCTGGTCAGTGCAAGACTCAGGGAGTTCAGTTTCCGTGGTTGTTTAAAAAGTTAATCGGATCTACAGCTGGCCTACATCGTGGCTCCGTGCTCCACTTTGGCTAAAAGCACGTCATCGCGTTGCCAAGTCGCGTCCTACTCCATGCTTGACGCGGGGCCAAACGCATTGGTGAGGCAAAACGGTGGGTGCATGACGACAGGTGGGCAGCGGTTGCTTCCGACGCAATGGAAAAATTGCTCCACTCGGACGGCAAGGCGTCAATTCGCATGACGTGTGGCTTGCAAAACGGACTCGGAACGACGGGCGGCACATGTCATTTTCCGTGGGTGGCGCCGCGGATCGTACTGTACACCGTGAAACGTTCAAATGCATCTTGGCATCCCGGACACGCCAGATGATCATGTGTGATCACTTGGGGCGGTGAGCGGCACAGCAACGCGCATGTGCAAAAACCAACCATCTAGCTTGCACACATCACGTGGGTAATTGCGAGGATGATGAGGACAAGTACGTCATAACCGGGTCGGCACAGGGGGCATACCTGGTGACGATCCCGGCCCGAGGGTGAGCGGCGGAGACATCTTGTCGAACGGTGGACAAGGAAAAGGGCCTCTCCAAACATCGCTTAAAATAATGAAAAAATAAATCCAGGCATCCCACCATTTCTCCCTCCCCCTCTTCCGCCTCCCCTCCAACCCCACCGTTGCTTCCACACCGCAACATCAGCTTCACGTAAAGCGCCCACCCTTGTTGCGTTGCCGCAATGCGCGCACAGCCGCCAGCATATCCCCCGCGTCGTTTGCCATCTGCTCCGACCCCTCTGCTGCGTTTCCCAGCTTTTCCCCCCGCTGCTTGACCCGCGTCGTCGCCTCCGCAAACACGTTTCCACCGCCATCGCCATCCACTTTGGCGCCGCGGCTTTTGTTCGGAGAAAATGGTGGCGCCTTGCCCCCGGCCCCTGGTGAAGGCCCCGCATCCTTGCCGCCCGGTGTCTTCCCGCCTGACTCCCCCGTCCCTCCCAAGCCTGCGCGTACCTTCCCGCCAAGAGCCTTGATAGAAGCCACGCCGGCTTCCAACACAAACCACCCCTTCTTTCGTTTCCATGTCGCCGTCCGACTGCCAAGCGTTTGCGACAACGGTGAAAATTCTTCCCCAGCTTCCAGGATCATCTCCTCCTCCGTGAGGCCGCAGTCGCGCGAAATGGTACCGCCTGCCGTGGCCGTCGTTGGATTGCGTCGTTCTTTCTCCGCTTTCGAGGAACGTGCAAAAATGACACCTTTCTTCGCCTTCGTCGTCTCATCCTTCGGTTGGTTGCACTGCCCGCCTGCTGTGGCGGCGTTAGGTGAAACAGCAGGCGCAGATACATAACCTTCTACCGGTGATGGAGCTGTTTCGTCCGTGGGCGAGTGTCCGAGCTTTTCTGATATCTTCGCAGCCTTTACCTGCAAGTCGTCGAGCTTTCTCTGATCGTGCTTGGAGCGTTGCGGGATTCTCTTGAGGCGTCGTACCTCTCTTCCGAGCCTGCTGAGCTCTAGCGTGAGTTGCTCCCTTTCGTCCTCAATATTGTTCTTGTTGCATGGTTTGTCCTTGAGCTTGTCCTTGAGCTTAATACCTAGGCCACCCAAGCCGGCACGCAGGCTCGGATGGGTGGGTGACTTTCCTTCAACGGTGATGACAGTGTCAGCCGAGGTGGCGGCGTCGGCCATCATAGTGCGACGAAGCTCGGCCGAGCTGGTACGGCAGTGGTGGGAAAAGTCGTTGATGTCTGGGGCGTCGGGGACGTCAAGATCCTCAGCGGCGACGGTGGGTACCTCGCCGTCGAGGAGACTCCCCTGACCGGATGAGTGGGGTGGTATGTCCAAGTAAGGGTCGTCGTGCTCGTCGTCCGATGAATCGTAGGTGCGCTCTATGACGTGCAAGCGACGGGCAGAGTACTGAGGAGGCGGGGCTGGGTGCGGGTGGTGGGGTGATTGCGCGTTTGGCTTAGAGGGAGGGGAGGTTTGAGGGTTAGTGTCCGTGTAGGGAGAAGGGAGGAAGTTACGGGTGTGTGAGACGACGTTGGCCAACTCGTCTGTGATCTGGGCCATGCGTTGCGAAAGGATGTTGCGACGGGCGGTATGCTCAGGTAAGGCAGGGTCGAGGGAGGCCATCTCGCTCTTGAGGGACTCCCAGTGCTGCCTGAGTTGCTCAGAGCGTTCGAAATCGGCATCGAGGGATTCTGCCATGGTTGCGGGCGAAGGAAGGAGGGGAGGGGGGGGGGGAGCGGGGGGGGAGCGGGGAGGGGGAATGAAGGGAAAGGGCGCGGAGGGCGCGAGGGAGGGGGGTGGAGGAAGGGGGGGCGGAGGAAGGGGAAGGGGAATGGGTGTCGTGGCGGGTTGGAGTGGGGAGTGGGGCAAGAGGGGATGGTGGAGAGGGGGGAATGACGAATCCCATGACGAATGGCGTGAGGAGATGCTGGAAAAGAAGTAAGATTTTGAGTTTTGCATCAAGCTGTGAAGGGAGCGCGTTGCGTACAGTACACTGCAGTACAGTAGTTTTGCGCGGGTCACGCGATCTAGCGATGTTTTGCGGTTGTTTTCGGGCGCCGTCACTTGTGACATCGGAAGGGCTGTAAGGGAGGTGAAGGGAAAGCCGTGCTGCGGGCAACGCGCCTGTGTTTCTTGCACGACTCGTATCACGCGTGTCGCGTCGCACACAGCAGTTTGTAAGCCATGACATTGCGATGGAGTCATTGCGATGTGCTCCCGTGCTGACAGTGCTGACTCCCGCACGTGTCCACGTGTTGGGAACCATCAGAACACGCTCCGTACGCTCGCCATTTGGTGAGCATCCATTGGCCATTCATCCTAGATCAAAATCCTATGCGCTGTACACTTGTGGGCCTCCACTGCCCTCCCGCCCACCTCCGTTTAGTGCTCTCTCCTACTTTCCCACAATCATAACCAATTTCCTTCTTGATCCCTTTCACGCCATCCCTGCACACCTCGGCCCCCATCGCGCATCCCAATACTCACTCCTCTTGGCTCCCCACCCCCCCCCCCATCGACAGTTAATTGTCCCTGCATCGGCACTCAGGTGCCTCCATACCCGCTCCCACCCTCTCTTGGCCTGAACTCCCCACACTATGTACAATTACCTCGTCACGGCCCACAAGCATTCGGGCGTCTCCCACACAGCCGTCGGCAACTTTCTCAGCCCCGACCACCGAAACCTCCTCGTCGCCAAGGTCCATTACATCCAGGTCTACAACATCACCCCCGAGGGATTAGTATGCGCCGTCGAGCTGCCCATCTTTGGTACTATCTCCGTCATGAAGCTGATACGCATGCCGCACGACACCCAGCATCATCTCGTCATCCTCACCGAAAAGGAAAAGCTCTGCATCTTGCGCTGGAACCTCGAAGAGAATCGCTGCCATGTCGTCTCCACGGGAAACATGCACGATGAGTATGCCGTAACGGAAGCCCAGGAGAAGATCGGTATCGTCGACCCCAATGGCCGCTGCATCGCCCTGTGTCTGCGCCAAAATCTACTCAAAATCATTCCCACCTCTGGCGACGCAGATCGCACCGCGTTTAATGTTCGCATGCGCGAGTCCTCGGTCATGGACATGGTTTTCTTACACGGCCGCCCCCATCCCACCATTGCTGTCATTTTCGGCCGGGATAAGGTCAACGCGATCAGAACCTACGAGATTAGTATACATGACCAGGACATTCGCCTGTGCGAACCGGAAAAGACTAATTTGGACTTGTCCTACGTGAAGATGGTTGCCGTCCCCCAGCCGTACGGTGGTGTGCTTGTGTTTGGCGATGACGCCATTATTTATCTGTCCCCCGAAGGCGATGAAGTCAAACAGCCTATTGATGCTACAATAATTAACGCCGTCGGCCAGATTGATGACGAGGGGACCCGGTATCTGGTCGGCGATCACAAGGGGCAGCTCATGATGCTTATGCTTGTCGAAGGCCCCTCGCGTGCGGCCGTTCTTCAGCTTAAAGTCGACGTACTCGGGGAGACCAGCGCCGCCCGCTCTATTTCTTACCTTGATAGTGGATTTGTATATATTGGCTCTAGGAGTGGCGATTCACAGCTAATCAGGCTGGGTAGGCCTGGCAATTCAGAGATGGGATCTCTGGTCGATGTTGTCCAGTCGTACACCCACCTCGGACCTGTTGTCGATTTCTGCATTGTTAAGGGCATGGGGTATTTGCGTCAGGGGCAAGGCCAAGTCGTCACATGCTCCGGCTTGGCTAAGGATGGCTCGCTGAGGATTATCCGCAACGGAATTGGCATTTCGGAGCAAGCCTCTGTCGAGCTCCCTGGAATCAAGGACATGTACTCGCTTCGGCGGCATTTTGGTGATCGCTACCATTCATACCTGCTTCAGAGCTTCACCTCTGCAACAAGGGTTTTGGAGTTGATTGGAGCACATGAAATGGCTCCGGCATCGCTCCCGGGTTTTGACGAATCGAGTCCGACGTTGCACGCTGCAAATATGTTGGGTGATATTCTCGTGCAGGTTACGGCGAATGGCGTTCACGTCACGGACTGTCAAACTATGACTCCACAGCCTGCACTGGCCTGGCTTCCCCCGACTGATGTGCGCGTATCGATAGCGTCTGGGAACGCAACGCAGTTGCTGCTTGCGACGACTGGGGGGAATCTCATTTACCTCGCGGTCGATGTAGAGAAGAAAACCGTTGTCGAGGTGTCCCACGTGAAGATGGAAAACGAAATTGCATGCGTCAATTGCAACTATCTCAAAGTATCATCAAAAATGACAGACGTCGCGGAGAAGAAAGAAGATCAACAAATGGCCTTTGTCGGAGCAGTTGGGTTATGGGCAGAAGTGAACGAATGCCCTGTTGTCAAGCTTGTTGCTCTTCCATCGCTGGCGACGATCCATACCGTCGAACTCGGTGGAGATGTCATTGCGCGCTGTGTCTTACTGTGTTCCATGGAAGGTCGTCACTACTTGCTCGTTGCCTTGGGCGATGGCTGCTTACTCACATACTCTGTAAATGCAGAGACAGCCGCCGCCGCAGCGGCGTCAGGGGATCCGGACGTTCAAAGCACAATGAACACTCCTTCGGTTGTGTCTGAAAGGAGAAAATTGAGCGTCGGTACACAACCCGCCGACCTTAGCATTTTCAAGAGCCGAGGTTCGGATCATGTCTTCGCCGCTTGCGACCGCCCGACAGTGGTGTACGCAGCTACGGGTGGTGGCAAGTTGTTGATTTCAAACGTTAACCTGCAAGAAGTGACGCGTGTTTGCGGATTTGACACAGCAGCGTTTCCGGATTGTCTAGCAATCGCAACCGAAGACTGTTTGCACCTTGGGGCAGTCGATGAGATTCAAAAACTACACATTTCAACTGTACCCCTTCATGAGCAACCACGACGGATCGCTCACATGGAAAGCGCAAGAGTTTTTGCGGTGCTGACTGAATCGACTCACATTGATGAAAACGGAGATGAAACTTTAGAACAGTTTGTCCGGACTATTGATGACACAAGATACGACACCATTGACAAGTACAGGCTGAAACCGATGGAAATTGGTTCTGCAATTCTCGCTACTACATTTAAGAATGATAACATTAACCCTGACGAGCAGTTTTTGGTGGTCGGCACCGGGTTTGAAAAGCCAGAACAAGAAGATGCAGACGAAGGCCGAATTCTGATATTCCGACTACTTGACGGTAAACCGGTCCTCGTGTCTGAACTACAAACCAAAGGTCCGACGCACTGTTTTTGTTCATTTGACGGAATGTTTTTGGCAGGTACTGGACCTGAAGTGCGGTTGTTTTCGGTCTCAGCCGGAAAGGATGGGGTCATAACAACAAAAATTGAAGACAAGCATCACGGGCACATTCTAGGACTCCAATTAGCAAGAAGGGGAGACTTCATTCTGGTTGGAGATTTAATCAAGTCGATCATGGTATTGACATGCAAGAAAGTGGGCGAGACGTACCAACTTGAAGAAGTTGCACGAGACTATGGTGCAACAATGGTAATGGCATTGGAAATGCTTGATGATGACGTCTACGTAGTTGCGGAACACGGAAAGCACCTGCTCACGTATCAACGCAACTCGTATGCAGCTACTGACGCGGAGCGTGGTCGTCTGGAAAGGATAGGCCAGTTTCATTTGGGCAGCAGGGTAAATAGCATTCAGCACGGCTCACTGGTGATGCAGATGACTGACAATGAAGGACCAGCAACGAAGACGCTAATATTTGGAACACCCGATGGAACGCTTGGTGTCATTGCCTGCATTAAGCCCGCTATATATGAGTTCTTCCTTGCACTACAAAACGCAATGGCCACACTGATCCCTGGAGTTGGCGGCTTAAGCCATGCCGATTGGAGAGCAATGACACAGGAAACACCTCCTAGCACGGCCCCTGCCAAGAATTTTGTAGATGGCGATCTAATAGAGAGGTTTCTAGATTTGAGTATGGCTCAAATGTCCAAGGTGAGCTCCATGGTGAGCGTCCCTGTGGACGAACTAGTTCAGAAAGTAGAAGAAATGCAGCGGCTACATGGTGCAGGATAAAGCGGCATGATCAAAGGATGTTCGAGAAGTGTTTCAGAGATGCTTGCAAAGGTGACGTACCCCTGCTGCCGTGGCATCTCACTGTTGCAACTGGATGTACATCGCATTGTACAACGAAACTACCTACTCGTGGTCGTGAACGATGGGAAGGCCATTTGCGCCCTGACAGTTCTGTATGAACAACAGAACAATAACTACGCGTTTATCGCCGTACGCAACTTTCTGTATCATCAGGCATATCGCCGAGCAGATGGAGGAGCTTGAATATGCATTCTACAAATTTCTCTCAGATGACAAACTGTGACAGAAAAGCCTTTGTGATGTCAATTGTCATTCGCTTCGGCTTTTCTTGAATCAAGTCAAGTCCAAAAAGATTGGTGATTGACTGTATCTGCCCGCTAGGGCAAAAGCCCGCTGTAAACGTATACTTAATTTTCTCCTCTATCAAACTTGCGAATTCATACTCGGACAACTCCGAGTTCACCATCGCCATTTCTTGAATGGAAGTACATCTATTTCGCATCGGTCGAAACAGCAAGTTCCCTGTCTCATACTGTACCGCAACTATGTGGTGTATTAGGCCGCATGAGCTGTGAAGTTGCCAGTATGAGTGGCATTTCTATTGAAGAAATCATGGGTAGCTTATTTGTCGGTCCCCTTCCAAGGACATTTAAAGCCCAAATACTGGTTATACTCGGTAATGATAAGAACATATTGCCAAGAACTGGGCACAGTACCCGCACTAGCATTCTACGGACATTGATGAGCACGGGCAGCACTGAAATTGAGGGAGAGGAAATACGGATTTGTTCATTCCATTTTATTCTGCATCTAGCCTACTTTCTTGTATGGTGGGAAGGCGCTTCTCGTGTAGGGGTCATATCCTCTACGTTTGAGGAGCTAGGGTCGTGAACCATAAGAAAAAAAATGTAAGGTTTCAGTCTTTCGCCTTGAGCCAACACGTTCTAGTCAATAGCATCTGCGAGTTACGCCCTAAGTTCCCACTCCGGTGAGATGACTTTGATTGTGCTGTCGATGCCAGAGTTGAGAATCATGGATCGTGTCGGATGAGGCAGAACACAGTTGACAATCTGATCATCGCCTGGTATTCTTGTGAGAAGCTCTCCGGTTGTAGCCGACCACATGTAGACTAGCCCGTCGTCTGATCCCGAAACAACCACCTGATTCTTAGCGCCATAAAACCTCGCTTCCTTTATTTCCGTTTGTCTGCTAATAGCCCCGTGGAAGCTCCGCCACTTGTCTTGGGCAGCTGGCGGTGGGCCCCATATCCCCATTTGCTGGTCTTCCGAGAATTCTTTAAGCAGGTGAAGGTTATCCAAGAATTTTGGGATTTCATTCCTATCTTGATCCTCCACTTCGTCTTCATCGTTTGAACCTGTGCTACACTGCTCAATCACTTCCCATGTGTCTCCGCTATGAATGTTGTGGTCGTCCTGGTGAAGAACATCAAACACGTAGGTTTCAAAATCCTTCCGAATTGTTCGACTTCCTTCGAAGAAGCTGTCAAAGATTCTCTGTAAAGTCACTCCTCGTGCTGCGCTTGCCCGTGTCTGATAGAGCTGTGAGCACTCGTACAAGTCCCCCAGCGCCCGTTTATAGACAACTCTTTTCAGTTTTGGAAACAGTCCTGCTTCTTTTCGATAATCCTCAATCTGGGAAATGAGCACATTTAATTGCTCGAGCCTCGTCTTGAAAATGCTCTTGCTGAGATGCCGATCAAAGATAGCGACTCTTCGGCCCGGAAGCATTCTCAACATAATGTAGGCCTTTTTGTACTGAAACACTTGCATCCAGATGTCTGCTCTCTCCTTGCAATGGCTTGAGTCAGGAGGCATACAGGGCGGCCCATCAGGTTTGTTGAATCCCCAAAGTTGCGATATTCTTGTATGATCCTGCTCAAGAAGCGTGAGGATGCTAGAATATGTAGCAAAACTAGAGCGCAAGTCTCCGTAACGCCTTCTCCGCAAAAAAGCCTCTGCGCGTAAAACGAGAGCGAGGAGATTGTCCGGTTCTACTTGCAACACATTGTTAGCTGTGCTGAGAGCCTTGTCCGAATCAATAGTGGTGGATGACTGCTGTAACCATTTGAAGATAACGGCGCGCTTCTGCGGGCGGGTGAGGAATGGAGAGCGGCATGGAACAGAGGTATCGTCTTGGGCCAAGTCGAATACGTGAACAGCATCGCCAAAGAATGAAGCGACGACCTGCCTGCCATCGGATGAGTAAGTTGCAAACGTGGCATAAGTGCGCTTATGCCCCGGAGGCCGCTGCCCCGGGTTGGAGTGCTCCGGGGCGGATTCATGCATGTGAGGCGGACAGATGCGACGCAAGCAATCACCAACAGAAGAGCGGTGAAGATGGCCATTTTTCTCGGCGGTATCCGAAACAAAGGAGCCACACTTGCGCAAATCGTACACGCGGAGACAGGGTTCATGTGCAGCGACGAGCAGATGGTGATCCGAGACGGGGGAGAGGACTGCCGAGTGCAGGCCACGCAATCCGCCGGTGGGCCCCGCAATGCGGACGAGGACATTCGAAGCCGGGTATTTGGACTGCCCCGAGGATATACGAGCGTCGAAAAGACGGGCGGTGCCGTCCTTGGAGGCAGAGATGAAGACGTTTGCGGAGGCGGCGACGACGGTTTTGACCATCTTCTGGTGACATGTCCAGAGTGTGGAAGCGCCGGTGTGGATATTGGTGTGGCGGACTTGGGAGTCCAGACCAGCGGAGACGAGGTAGGAGTCGTTTGTGTCGGGCATGAAATCGACGCCGAAGATGTTGAGCAGATGGCCTGGGGCGACGAGGGCGCGATGCTTGAGGGTGTCAACGTCCCAGAGACGAAGAGTGCAATCGTCAGAGGCTGAGACGAAGGAATTGAAGTCGCGAGAGTAGGCGAGGCGGTTGACACAGCCCAAGTGGCCGTCGAGAACGGCAGTGCATGTCATACGGGGGATGTGGGAGAGGTGGGCGTGAAACTCACGCAAGGGGTCGCGTATGTCGTCATACTGGAGGCGGCGCACAAGCGAGGGGAGGGAGTTGGCGCCGAGCGCCATCGCGGGTGTCGGGGGGTGCGGTGTGAGCTGTGTAGGTGATGAGACGCTGCGGGTGTCGACGGAGGGGGTGGGAAGGGCCAGGAGGAGAGGAAGCGGGGAGTTAGTACAGACGGGAGATGTTGGAAGGTACCTGGTAGTTGTGGCTGGGAAGGATAGCAGTGTGGAAAGAAGAGTGTACAGTATGGGGGCGTTTTTTTGTTGATGTTTTGATGTGGTGTCGTTGTGGGGAGATTGTGAGGGGGTGGGCCCGGTGGGAAAGAAGGGTTCGGGGAGGCGGGGAGTGGTGACGCGAAGGCGTGACGGTATGAAGGGGTGGAGGGCCAATGGCGTTGCAGGAATGTTGATCCGGGGAATTTGATTGGGCACTTTGCACAGAGAATAGTGGAGCCGCTGTAGTCACCAGACGCATGCGGCTCGTTGCACGCGAAAAACGGGCCCCTCGTTGGGTAAGTCGTATGTCCTATATCCCACATCCAATCACGTCCCTGCATCCGGTCACCGCCGTCACGCTCCATCCCTCTCGTGGCATGATCCCCTCTAAAGTTTAGAGAGGATCATGCCACGAGAGGGTCCTTGTTGTGGAGGGTGCGGTT